TGGCCTCTTTAATAAACTTTTCTAAGATCTTCCCCGGGATAGAAGTCAGGCTGACGGGCCTATAGTTAGCTGGATCCACTTTCCTCCCTTTCTTGAAGATAGGCACCACATTGGCCTTCTTCCAGTCTTCGGGCACTACACCAGAGTGCCAAGAGTTTTCAAAGATCCGTGCTAGAGGCTGGGCTATGATGCTCGCCAGCTCCTTGAGTACCTTGGGGTGAAGATTGTCAGGGCCAGCTGACTTGAAGGTATCCAGCTTCTCAAGATGTTCCTTCAGAAGGTCAGCATTAATGGAGGGCAGGGGATCACCCTCACCCGGACTTCCCGGGTGAGGGAAGATGTTCTCTTCTTGTAACAGAAGAGAAGCTCAGTACACACAAATCAATTTCAAAACAGCTGAAACTGGTTTAAGATAAAACTGCCTGAATGTAGTATCAGCCTTAACTGATTTGGGTTAAACTGGTGTATAAAATTTCTGTCCCAGACCTCTTCCTGGTTCAAGTTAAGTCACAGTCCCCCAGCAAGCTTTCCAGCCCTGGGCTGGGCTGTACTGGCTGCTCCAGAGCACGGATAGCCCCACCCCTCTGCTCCCTAGCTGGAGCAGTGAGGGATGGCTGACAAGGAGGAGAGTGGGAAGCAAGTCCAGCTGGGGATGCAGTTCAGTCTATGCAAGGGGGGGGGGGGTGTCCCCCCTCCAGGCAAACCCTGGCTGGGATCTGGGGCCAGGGAGGGGGGGGTTAAACATCCCTTCCCCAGCTCAAACTTAGTGTTGGCTGCAACTGTGGACTATAAATCCCAGAGGCACCTGGAAGCAGGAAGAAGAAGTGATGAGCAATCCTGCACAGTCCTGTTGTAATTCTGGACTGCAAGGCTAGGGACAGACATTACACATAAACCAGTTTAAGTGATCAGAAACTGGTTGAAACCTGTAACAGAACAGATATTCAGTACACATAAACCAGTTAAAAATGGCTGAAACCGGTTTGAGATAAACCTGGTTGAACGTAGTATCAGATTTAATTGATTTGGGTCAAACCAGTTTATGCAATGTCTGTCCCAGATCCCTTGCTGGTTTAAGATACACCAGACACCCCCAGAATCCCAGCATGCTCTCTGGGCCGGGCAGGGCTCTCTGCTCTACAGCAGAGCTGGCCCATCCCCTCTCCTCCCTGGCCAAAGCTCCAGCAGAGACTTGCAGGCACAGAGCATCTGCCCGGCTTCTCCTTGCTAAGCAGGGATAATTACACCCCCCGCCCCTCCCGCTCGCCTTATGCAGACACCTCAGCATTAGCTAGCAGACTTCATGCTGCCTATGGTCCCTGCTGTGGGAGATAACAGGCAGACAGGCTTTTTGGAGCTAATCAGCAGGTAGTATAATGTCCTTCCTTGGAAGAGCTGTTTAAGAAGAGCTCCATTAGTTAATGGAGAGAGGCTTTGTTTTCTTAATGGGTTGATAAACACTGAGTCAGGGGTGATGAACATTCCCTGCTTGGCTGCTTGGGGGGGAGGGTGTGATAATCAGAGCGTCCTGCTAGGGCCCCCCCCCCAGCTCAGTACTGTAGAGGGGAAGGGAGGGCTGCTCTAGCACCCCCCAGCTTCTAGCCTGAGCCACTGCAGGCATGTGCCTGAATTTCTAGGATGCCTGTGTGGTTACACAACTAATTTAGCCTAGCCAAGTTAGACTAACCTACAAAGATTAAATCAATTCAGGCTCAGGCTTTTTATGTCTGTCCTTAGCCCAAATCCCAGAGACCTCAGGGGCAGCAGGAAGAGGAAGTGAACACACAGCCAGTGAGCTGTGCTCTAGCCCCCACCCCCAGCTTCTGGCCTAAGCCACTGCAGGCATGTATTTGCATTTCCTGAATCAAAGGTAAATGTCTGTTCATTTCTGTTTCAGTTTAATCTGTGCAGTTTAGACTACCTTGCAAAGACTGAACTGATTCAGCTTCAAACTTTTTGACTGTCTGTATTTAGCCTTCAGACCAAATGAAGAACGGTGCAAGAAAGTATACCTTATTATCTTTGTCCGAAGAAGTACAGATGTGTTCTCAGCTGCTATATGAAGTTGACTATTTTCATGTTTTAAACTTGGCAAAGGGAATCTGTTGAAATGTTAGTCCTAACAGCTCCATATTTCAGTGTTTTTGAGCTAATGGCAGATATTTTCAGAGAAGAGCGCTCAACTGTTGAAATTCACTTTGCTGGTCTGACTAGGCCCTACTTTGATGACCTCAGCTAGTACTGCAAAGTCCATTTATTTTCAGGGACTTACTTCCCTAAGGAGTTTTGAAGATTCTTTTTTCTTCTTTTTTTTTAATGGAACCTCTGAGTCATTTTGTTAACATTGGCTAATTTTAGTAATTGTTGCTCTTCTTGTTTTAATCTATTATATTTTTATATTGTGTGTGTTCCAGGAATATAAAATCAGCATGCTGTATAAATACTGCATTGTCTAAAGGACTCTGATGATAAGTTTGACTTTACCTACCATACATTAGAATCAATCTCATTACATACAGGCATCTAAATGGGTAAAAGTACAGATTAAAACTATTGGATTTTCCAAGTCAAGAATAAAAAGTAATCAGGTTTGCCAGTGTTAATTTAATAGTGTAACTGGGATTACAGGAAACTATACTTTTACCATTGCTTTCCGTCATCTGAGCTATTAGCTTACACAGTAAGGAGCACTTGAATATTCCCTCCTAATAGTTCTCTGTGCTTCCAAGTACAAACAGCCCGAAACACTTACTACAGCAAGATTCAAGATATGATAAAAATGCTAGCACAAGTTTATTCCATTCCCCAGTTTCTTAACTGGTGCTTCCTGTGTTTATTATAAATTGAGATGTAACACTGTTCTGTTTCCGAAGGATAACTCCAAATTAGATTTTAACAAAGTTTACTATTCTCCTGAGTGATCAGGGACCCTGGTTTTCTCTGCTTAAAAATGGTAAATTCTCCAATTTAAAAAATCTCAAATACTCTGATTAAAACCCCCCAAATCTACATTTTCCCCACAATGTTTTATTGATATATTTACAATTTTAAAGGAATTTGGAAGCCTACCAGTGCCTCAATCATTATAATAAAATACATTCTAAATACCTATATAATTTAGGCATTTGATTTTGGATTTATCATCATAGCAAATCAGAGCTCCCACTACCATCTTCGCTCACCAGGATGCAGGTCCTCTTCCTTCCCCTGCTTCTTTGTGGAACTGAGCAGCCGTGCCCCTGCTGGTACCCCTCACTCTTAACCCATAGGCCCCTGGCCCCTTGCTCCCAGCCCAAGGTTCCCTGGCTCCCAGCCCAAGGTTCCCTGGCATCCCCCAGTCCATGCATGTGCTCCTCATTCCCAACCTGCAGCCCCCTGGCCCTGCCAGCACCCCTCACTTTTGACCCACAATCCCCTGCCCTCTCGGTGCCCCTCACTCCCAAACCACAGCCCCCACAGGACTCCCGGTGTCCCTCACTCCTGACCTGCAGCACTCTACCCACCCCAGCCCTGCAGGAGGGGGCCTCCAGCTGCCTCCACCCAGCCCCGCATGGACTCACAGGATCACTGTGCCCCATAGATCACTGGGACAGCCTCCAGCATGAGGTGCAAACAGTGTGCCTACCTCATGCGGAACCACAGGCAGCAGCTGGGGCATCACACAGTACCCCGCACAATCAGCTGGGGCTTTGGCTGCAGCACAGCAGCAGTGTGAAGCAAATTTCTGTCCTAGCCATGCTGCAGGCAGCAGGAGAAGAGCCAGGGGCTCCAGGCCCCATTCCACGCAGGATGGAACACAATGGTTGTGATGGCTTCAATTCATGCAGACAGTGGTGGAGCGAGTCCAGCCCTGGCGTGGGCTGGAGAGAAGAGGAAGGGAGGCCGGTGGTACCCCCGACCCTGGGTTGGGGCTCCCACCCTGCACTAGGCAGTCTGGCTGCGGCCACCCTTCCCCTCCTGGGGCAGTGTCTCCAGACCGCCCTATCGCTGGCAGCATGGGCACTGGCCCCCAGCACCACTGGCCCAGCCATGCAGTTCCCTGAAGGACCCCTAACTTGTCCCCTTCTCCCACTGGAACACTGCCAGCCTGCAAGGGGAAAGCCGCTGTTTCTCAAAGCTTTCTCTTTTAAAGAGGAAAATCAGCATTTTTTCTCCTTCAAATGAGAAAATCTGCATTTTTCTCCTTCAAATGAGAAAATCTGCATTTTTCTGCAGCTAATGGAAAACCCAGATCCCTGGTGGTCAGCGTCTTTACAGAAAATCACCAAGATTGCACTGGTGAGCTGAGTATTTTTTAGAGCTAATTTATACTTTAGCACTAGTACATTCTTAAAATGTGACCAGGTCAAGATGTGACCCCTTCATGATTCAATATTCTTACCTAGCTTTTCTTCATCTATCAAAATAAGTTCCAAAAATACTTTTAATTATTAATTCATCAGAAAAAATCTCTCATCATTCTACTGAATAGAGTACGCTACAGTAAGTTGTATAGTACTCTTAAATAATCCAGGCCATTTCTTTCACTCTAAGTAGTTGATGATTTCTAACCTATTCAAACAAAGATACTTAAAAATAGTAAGCATGCCCACCTGTAAGAAATAAATGTTCCATTCGAATCTGAGGTATGATGCATCTTTCCATTCTCACTTGATCCTCCTAATAATAATAATAATAAAAAAAAAAGTAGAACTTAGTCATGAAAGAGACACCCTGATATTGAATACTACAGTCAGAGGCACGTGCAAGTGATTTAACCATAAACATCATATTCGTTTCTGGCAATCAGATTAAAAAACAGCAAACAAAAAACTTACCTGGTTCAATTGCATCCTTTCATCCTAAAAGTTATTGGTTGTAATCAGAAATAACCTCAAACACTTACCTGAAGCCAACATACAAGTGGTTTCAGAAGTAAAAGAAGGTAGTGCCTCTCTCACTGCTTCAACAGCATGCCTTTAAAGCAAGGCAGAAAACTGACAAAGAGGAGGGGGTACTTCACAGGAACACAGGTAGGACTAAAAAGAGATCTATCACATCAGAGTCCCAATCTCTGATCCTGAAATCAGTAACTGTTCCTACTGGAAGTGTTTCCAAGATTTCACTTCTCTGATGTTAGAAACCTTCTGAAAATTTCAACCTAAATTTATTCTTGGCCAATTTTTACACACGCTTTTTTTTTGAACAAGTAATTAAATACCCTTTAATTACACTTTTACCCTCCCCGGTGCTTACTTTGATATATTCTAGACAACAATCACATGCCTGCCTTTTGCAAGGGTAAACAAGCCATACTCTTTTTGTCTCTGCTCAAAGGACAGCCTTTGTTCCCCTACTGATAATAGTAGACTAATTCAAACAAATAGGTATAGAGAACTATTTGGGTAGGTCTAATAAAAGATATCAAATTCACCCAAGGAACCTTGTCTGCCTAGGTATAGAGAAGGGCCTTCCTGAACATGTATGGCAAGAATTATACAAGGTAATCCAAACAAGTACGTGTCTTGTACAATGATATTATTATTTTTATCTGCAGAAATAACTTGCCTAACACAACCTATGATTGCACTGGCCTTTTTCACAGCCACATTACATTAGTAACTCTGTCATTCTGTTAATAGTTCCAGGCTTTCACCATTTTCTGCCAACTGACAAACCTTCAGCTTAGCAGATATTCTTGTTATTAGTCTCTGTGTATGGCCTTACACTGCCCATTATTTTCTCTTATTTAACTTGCACCTTTCTCCCCCGAATCAGCACTCCCCCTCATGCCCCCTCCCCACATGCTTCAAGATGGGAATCTGTTTTCTTCACTGGAAAAGGAGCACTCCTGGAGACACGGTGCACATCAGCTGCCCAAATGGCTTCTGCTTTTGTTTTCTCAGCAAACTGAAGGAGTGGAGTCCTGCGTTAAACCTCCCACAGCTGTAGTTACTGACCGAGTACTATAGCTTGTACCTGAAGCTGCAAGCTGCTAGTAGTATCCCAATATCAAGACATGGGGTATGTGGGATGTGGGAAACAATACCTTATTTACAGGATATTATATAAAAAGCTACTTACAGTAAAGAATTAAAGTCTTGCTACTACCCTTTGCAAGGGTCTTGGGCCTAGCCTGGTGTGACAGAGTACATCCTCCTGGAAACACAGGGTACTTCCAGACATTTAAAAAAAGAAAAACAAACAAACAAATCCCACCACATAAATGGCACTTTATTTTAATGTGCCCTCCACCCCCCGCCCACATGCCCAGAAGAGGCAGCACATTACTTCAACCCAGCTCACCCAACATCTGTAAAGATCAGGCTTTTAAAATCTTTTTGAAGCTAATTGAATCAGGTTTAGCTCAAAGTGCCAAAAAAGCACCTGATCTATACAGACATCGCAGAGCTGGGTTGAAGTAACGTACTGCTGCTTCTGGTAAAACATTTTTTTTTTTTTAAAAACATCTGCAAGCAGCCAGTGTGCCCAGGAAGTGTGGCATCACAGGGAGACAGTCTAGCACAGTGGTTCCCAATCCAAATGAGAGTTGCGAGGGCAATGCCAGCAGCGCCACACACGACGGACAAAACATGCTGCATGCTGGGAGCTCCCCCGCCCCTGCCTCTAGGCCGCCACCGCACTCTGCTCCCACTAGTGGGTCATGGCCAGAAAAGGTTGGGAACCACTAGTCTAGCACATCAGGATGCCACACTTCTGGGATGCACTGCGTTTTCAGAAGGACTTACTCCATGTCACACAGTTGGCCATGACTCTGGAAAAAAAATCTTTTTTTCTATATTCTGCATTCCAAAAACAAGGTGCACATTTTATTTGGGGGTATGCTGTATGTGAGAAAATACAGTATTTCATCCCAATTCTATTACTGTGGTTCACAGTTACCACATTCTTCTCATGGGATATTTCTCACTGTCCTTGTATTGACAATGCCTCTTTTGTGCCATCAGCAAATTTTGTTCTCACAAACAGCAGGAAAGTACTAATGTCATTAATGAAAATTATTAAATAAAATTGGTTGCAACACCAAAGAACTCTACTAGTAACCTGCATTCAGTCTGCCACTTCTTCCCATTGTCATTCTCCAACCAGTTACTTTTGCTTATTCTTTGCAACCTCTATACTCATCACCATTTTTTCCAGTTTAACTAATACATTTCCATATAACACCATATCCAGAAGCATTACTGAAGTCCATACAGATGTACTGTGTTTATTTTGATTTAAAAAAAATAAGTTATCAAAGAAAAATATCAGGTTAGTCTGGCTCAATCTTTATTCAGTTGGTCAATTTACACTGAATGGTGTCCAAATTTTGCATTTACCCTCATCCTTCCTTCAAAATTTCTTCTAAAATAGGTTAAAAATCTTTGCTCTTGGATTTTTGATTTCACATGCCAATTTTCTCAGTATTCTAGAACAGAGAGTCTCTGGCTCTTGCAACTTGAGTGCATTATTCCCTATAAGCAGCTCTACTAATTTGTTTTTAGAGGACTTTATAAAGCAGCATCCCTTCTTGGATCAGTGACCATAGGGTAAAAAAAAATCTATCGCCTACCATATCCAAGAATAACTGGGCCCCACCATAATTATAAGAATTATTTATCTCTGGACTGCAGTAGGAAAATCAATACCTTCCACCATGACAGTTACCACTATGTATTCCTCAGTTTCCTTAATGATAGAGATCTCTATCGATATTCAATCCAACCATGAAAGAACAAAGAAAGCCCAACTGGTATCCTAACTGAAACATATCTGAATTTGTCTTCCAAGTGCTTTAATTAAAACCAAATGCTACTTCTTTCAGGTTATGTATATCCCTGTAATATTCAGTTGTGTCCCACACCAGAAGCTCCAGCCCTTCATTTAGTTGATGATTCTTTGGCTTATTACAGAAACATTTAACCACTAACTTCTAAACACTGAAGGGAGAGCAGTGGACATGATACACCTTGACTTTAGCAAGGCTTTTGATACAGTCTCCCACAACATTCTCACAAGCAAACTAAGGAAATATGAGTTGAATGAATGGACTGTAAGGTGGACAGAAAACTGGCTGGATCATCAGGCTCAAAATCAATGGCTTGATGTCTAGTTGGCAGCTGGTATGAAGTGGAGTGCCCCAGGGTTCAGTCCTGCGGACAGTTTTGTTCAACATCATAATCAGCGATCTGGAAGATGGGATGCAATGCACCCTCAGAAAGTTTGCAGATGATATCAAGGTGGGTGGAAGAGTACATATGTTGGATTCAGAGCGACCTAGACAAATTGGAAGACCAGAAAAAAAGAAATCTGATGAAGTTCAAGTAGGATAAGTGCAAAGTGCTTCACTCAGGACGGAACAATCCCATTCACTGGTACAGGCTGGGGACTAACTGGCTAAGCATCAGCTCTGCAGAAAAGGACCTGGTGATTACTGTGGATAAGCTGAATGTGAGCCAACAGCGTGCCCTTGCTGACGAGTCAAATAGTGAGCCTGGATCTGAACAGAAGGGTTGATGTCCAAAGAGGATGGAGCTAGACTGTTCTCAGTGGTGGCAGATGACAGAACAAGGAGCAATGGTCTCAAGTTGCAGCAAGGGAAGTTGAGGTTAGATATAAGGACAAACTCTCTCACTGGGAAGGTAGTAAAGCACTGGAACAAGCTACCCAGAGAAGTTGTGGAATCTCCATCTTTGAGGTTTTTAAAACCCAGGTAGACAAAATCTTGGCTGGGATGATCTAGTGGGGATGGTCCTGCTTTGAGCAGGCGGGTGGACTAGATAGCCTCCCCCAGGTCACTTCCAACCCTAATTTTCTATGATCTTATCCACAATCCCAACAATTGTGCCTCCTGCCATGCCACACATGCATGGCAGGAAATGTGATTGCGGAATCGAGGATCAGATCCCAATTGCACCATACTGTCAGGGCAGGGGGAGCCTGAGACCATGTTCAATTTATGGCATCATGAGAACCTGCCTTGAAGTTAATTATATGCTAAATGTGTAATAATTTTATGTCTTATTCCCTGTTTATCTCACAATTATATTGAAAGTACATGCAGCTGGGTTATTACCATCTAATACTTTTAGTTCTAAGTACAAATCTGGAGTGCTACAGACATTTAGAGCATGTTCAAAAGTAGTTTAGTAAACAATGCAGGAAACGAGAAGTAAAATACTATGAACACTTTGGTTAAGAATTTAGGGTGTGGTTCAAGTGACAGTGTCTGTCTGAAAGCTGCTATAAAATAGGTCCACTCTCACAGGCTGTGTTCTTCAATTCTCCTAGTTGTTATAATTGTTGCTAACTTAGTTGAGAAATGAAACAAGTTGCCATAGGTACAAACAGGGGTCCCATTAGCTTCAAGAAAACAAGACTAAGGATCCACAGAGGGCAAGATTCCTTTACAGGTGAAGAAACCTGGATGAACCTCTTCTTTTATTGTAAAGTGCTTCGCTGAACCTTCCCCCATGTGAAATAAATGTTTTTAATCTGGATGATTTATGTCAGAGATGGGGACTCTACACTCTCCTAGCAGAATTTGATGAGATCCCACAATGCCTTTTTAAAAACTGTAATTAGACTTAGGCCACTGACAGATGTTCACTTAAAGGCATAATGGGATCTAATCCCCAATCTTGTAGGCCATCTACAGGCCTGAGCAGCATAAGCCA